TGCAGGGCTCCCTCAGCACTGCCCCTCCAACAGTGCAGGGCTCCCTCGATACTGTCCCCTTGACAGTACAGGTCTGCCTCCGGATTTTTCCCCGATAGTGCAGCACTCATCGGGATTGTCCCCTCAACAATGTAGGGCTCCTTTGGTACTGCTCATCCAACAGCACGGGGCTGTCTGGGCTGCCCAACCAACATACAGAACTTCCTCAGTACTGTCCCCTCGATGGTGCAGGGGCCCCTCGGTGCAGGCCCTGTGAAAGTACAAGGCTCTGTAAATATAAATGGTTATGAATGTTTTGGAATATAAGTGATTGGAGGTCTGAAGGAGCTGAACATGGTTATACAGGGGGAGTAATGGATCCAGGCTCCATTGACTTCAACAGGATCTTGTCGTATTCCTTGCATTGGTTTACGGCTTGGACAGTGCCACAACAAATGCTGAAACTCCTCCAGACTTGCTCTGATCAAACTTATATACCCCTAAATCCCCACATGTCCTCCTTCTGAGTTTGCGCACTGCCCTCCCACCATTGACCCTCTACCAGCCATTCACCCATCCACCAACTAACTGTGCTCCTCCTCAGTTTCACTATCCCTCAGTTATATTTCAGCTCTGAATCTGTAAGTGAAGCTGAAAATTAAGCTGGGAATCAAGAACAAAATAACTTAGGAGAAGTTATTAGGAACAAGAGGAGACTATTCAGTCCTCAAGGTTGTTATATTGAAGCAGAGGAAGGCTATTCAGGTCCTTGACACTGCTAAATAAGAACAAAAGTTTATTCAATCCATTGTGCCTGATACCCAAGGACTAAGCCATTCATTCCCTCAAACCTGTGCATTCATTTAGGTAATTCATGATCTGTATCCTTTCCTGTGTATTCTTTGATATCCTTGCTCAATTTTGGGGGGAAAAGTATTCTCTTGACCTGGGCAGAAAGTTCCAGATTCTCATTCTCCTTTGTCATAGCACAGAAGAAGCCCTTCGGCCCATCAAGTCTGTGTATACCTGTCTCAACTAATCCCATTTTCCAGCACTTGGCCTTGAATGTTATGACATTTCAAGCGCTCATCCATGTTAAAGGTTGTGATGTTTCCCACCTCTACTACCCTATCAGGCAGTTCATTCCAGATTCCCACCACCCTCTATGTGAATTTTTATTTCCTCAAATCCCCTCTAAACCTCCTCCCCTTCACCTTAAAATTATGCCTTCTCATTAGTGACCCTTCAACTAAGGGGAATAGCTGCTTCGTATCCACCTTGTCTGTGCCCCTCATAAACTTGTACATCTCACTCAGGTTGCCCCTCAGCCTTCTCTGCTCTAAAGAAAACAACTGGAGACTGTCCAGCCTCTCTTCATAGTTACAGTGCTTCAAATCAGGCAACATCCTGCTGAATCTCCTCTGCACCCAGGCAGTACAATCACATCCTTCATATTGTGTGGCAACCAAAATTGCACACAGCACTCTAACTGTTACCTAACCAAGCATTTATACAGCTCCCACATAACCTCCCTGTTTTTATAATCTTTGCCATGACTGATAAAGGCAAGTGTCTCTTTTGCTTTCTTAACCATCCTGTTTACCTGTCATGCCATCTTCAGGGATTTGTGGACAAGCACCTCAAGATCCCTCTTCTTCTGAGCTTCCTCATGTCCTGCCATTCATTGAGTACTCCCTTGTGTTGTAACTTCTTCCAAAGTACATCTTACACTCTTCAGAGTTAAATTCTATTTGTCATTGATCTGACCATCTGACCAATCAGTTTATATGTTCCTGTAACCTAAGATTTCCTCCTTCACTATTAACTACCCAGCCAATCTTTGTGTCATCCGCAAACTTAATTCTTATTTCTTTCCCTTCTCAAACATCCTCATCTACACTGATAACATATATCTGGAACAATAAGGGACTCTGCACTGATCCCTATGGTACACTACTGCCTACTGGCCTCCAGTCACACAAACAGCCATCTGCCAGCACACTGTCTCCTACCATAAAGCCTAATTTGAATTCATCTTGCCAAGCTACTCTGGATCCCATTAATGCTTCCTTTCTTCACCCCCGAACAGCATGACTCAAATTTTAAAATTTCATGTTCTAGTTTCCCCAAATTCCGTGATCATTTTAATCACTCATCATTATAATGGGAATGAATAAGGATTCTCGATCTTTTCTGAGGTAGATTCTATACAGTCTAAATCCTGAGCTGCTGAATACAATGGGCTGGGAGAAATAAGAAGCTTTGTGAGAAAGAATCCAGAATTTTGCCCCACTATTTGTGTGCTTTCAAAACAGCAACAGATTTTGTTTACATTTGCTGACAAATCCATGGAGAGATAGAGTTGTTTGCCGTGTATTTATCGCTGTCTTCTCTCAGGGGTTCCCATCTATTTATAACCTGTTTGTGTGGTGCCAGGTACAGTGGCACCTGGGCTATAACCTGTTCGGGAGATGGATTGCTAAGTATAGCTGTAAATAATTAGAACATTAATGCAACAATATATATGCATTTGTACAACCACCTTCACTGAGCTACTCATCTCAATAGGCTACAACAGAAATACAGCTTGACACTTTGTTAATAGGATTCTCGTTAAATTGACTTCTAGTATTTGTCAGGTACTGGAACCAGAATGGTCGAATTAAACAAAGCAACTCCATACAAAATATTGATATTCATATCCTGTAGCAATTTCCCTTTGACAGCACCTGCCAAACCCACAACCTTTACCATGTAGAAGGACAAGGGCAACAGATGCCTGGGAGCATCACCCCTTCATTCATCATCCTGACATGGAATTACAGTCACTGTTTCTTCACTGTCACTAGGTCAAAGATAGTGGCATTCTGTTTGTTAAAGCACTCTAGATGCCCCTAGATCAATGAACTGAAGCACCTCAAGAATGGGACACCCCACTTACCACTGATGATCACATCCCACGGATAAAAAAAACAAAAGTAATTGGCAAAATATTTAAAGGAGAAATCTGCTGGATTATGTGGGAAGAGCAGGGTAAGAGCTGACACAGTCACATTGGGCTACAGGGATGTGCAGGCTACGTGGATTAGTCGTGGGGAATCTAGGGTTACAGGGATAAGGCAGGGAGCTGGGTCTGAGTGGGATGCTGTTTGGAGGGTCGGAGTGGACTCGAATAGCCTGCTTCCACACTGTAGGAATTCTATGACTGAATGTCATTCTCCAGTCACGTGTGATATTATGATTGTAAGTGTGAAGAGGGTTAAAGTCACCATAGAACTAACAAACCACAGGGCTGCTCCCTCATTAGAGAGATGACTGGTGGTGGTTTAACCTAAGGGGCACCATGCCTCAGACATGGGGAAACATAGAGAAGGAGAGTCGTTTTGCTGACTGCAGCCAGTGTGGGACTTGCACTGTTGGCATCCATCTGAGCTGCAAACTATTCCAGCCAAGTGAGCTAAGTGATCCCATAGTAAGAACAGGGAATGAGCGCTCACAATGGGATATCGAGGCAGGGACTGAAACATTTAAAATAGGAATTGGCTAAGGATTTGAAAGAGAAATATATAAATGGATACATGAAAAAAGAATTAAGATTTAGCACCAGGGCACGACAACTGAGCTGATTCTGTGAATCTTTGAAGTGTGACATACTCTCTCGAAATTTTAATATAGGTAATATGTACAAAAGTAATAAAGGCACAGTTGATTGTCCCCTATTGCGGACGTTCCTTTCCTTACAAATTTCCTTGTATGGTCACAGTGAGAATAATAGTGCACATGGACGGAAATATGTAAATATATTCAGTTGCCAGTCATTTCCTCCCATGATTAATTTTTCCATTTGATTTTGTTCCCAGAAACTCGGCAAGTTGGTGATCAAGTTTTTGGAGCGAGATTTGCAGCCAGCGTGCCAGGTGGCTTGTTTGGGAACTGTGCGCATTCTATCCCGGGACAAGAACAACCTGAGGCCATTCACCACCAGGGAAGCCATGCAAACCCTGGCCAGACACGCTGGAATTGATTATAGTGAAGAGCGCATGGATGGGATGCCTGATGTTGATGTGATAGTTGAGGCTCTGAAATGCCTCTGCAATGTGGTGTTCAACAGTCCTACCGCACAAGCGATCAGTGCAGAAAGCTGCATGGTGCTTGGTCTCACTGAGCGACTTAAACTTTACAATGGGAAGAACCTGACGCATGATATCAAATTTTTTGATTGCCGCCTGCTCTTTCTCCTCACGGCTCTGAGGCTGGACGTCCGCAGGCAGCTGGGTCATGAGCTGCGTGGTGTGAGTCTGCTGACTGATGCTCTGGAGAGCACACTGAGTGTCAGGTGGTCAGACACATATGAGGTGGCCACTGATGGACCCCCACTGGCCCGTCAGCAAACTGACTGTGCAATGGAAATCCTGAAGATCCTCTTCAACATCACTTTTGACTTGAACAAAAGAGAAGTGGATGAGGTGACTCTTTCTGATTCTCACTCTGATCGGTCCTTCTGTAAGATTCTAGAGGTTGAAATAAGGGAAAAAAATAATACTTGAGTCAATAAATGGCAGCCAGCGCGGCTTTATAAGGAGAGGGGTACCAACAGTGACAAAATACAGGAATACAATGATAGGCTTGCAGAATGCTATGTATTTATCCAGTGATTTCATTATGGGTAACTATGAGCTGGTATGTTTTGATAAAAAGGATAAGGAGGCTATACTTTCCTCAGAAAATAAAAGCCTGAAAAGAATGGAGGACTGATGGATCCAGTGTCCAGATACATCAATCGTGAAAACTACTGTATGGTTATAAGGCAATTTAAAAAAATCAAATCGGCATTGGGTTCATTTTGAGGCGGATAGAGTTGAAAAGCTGATTAATTAATTAAAACTTCTATTGAACTTTGATAAGACCACATCTGAAGTACTTCGTATATATTTTTGGTCTTTCTATCTTTTTACGGGAAAGATGCAAAGAAAAATACTATAAGGACAAGCCTACAACTAAGTGGTTACACCTATCACTTTGAGGAAAAATTGAACGGTAGTGTACTTTTTATTCTAGACAAAGGAAGGCTGATGGGTGACCTAATAGAGGGCTGTCAAACTTTGAATGAATTTGCTAGGAGTTGACACAAAAGATGTTTCAACGTGTGGGCGAGACCAGAATTAGGGGTAATCAATATAAGATAGTCATAAATTGATCCAATAAGGAATTCAGTAGAAATGTCTGAGTGATGAGAGCTGAATGGAATATATGTGGATATGTTACAGGCAAGGCTAGGTAACATGAGAGAGAAAGTAATAAAACGACATGTTAATCGGATGAGGTGATGTAAGGTGAAAGGAGATACATGTAGACCTAAACGCCAGTGTAAACCATTTAGGGTGAATGGTCTGTTTCTCTGCTGTAACATTCTATGTTAATCGTGTCTACCAATTCTGATATTGGCCAGGTCACCGGGAAGACCGCTCCTTCCATTCTTTGCATAGGATCTTTTACGTCCAACTGAATGGGGATACAGGACATCAGTTTAACATCGTCTGTAAAATAAAATTGCCAGTTTAATGTGCTGTCAGTACTGCTGCTGCAACAGTGCAGCTCTAATTCAGTCCTGGTCCTCTGACAGTGCAGCACTCCCTCAATACAGCCCCTCCAACAGTGAACACTCCTTCAGAATACTCCTCCAACAGTGCTGTGCTCCATCACTACTCCCAGCACCCCTGCCTCCCCACCCCCAACAGTGCTGCGTTTTTTTTCAGTTCTCCCCCACTTCCACACCCCTGACAGCGTGGTTCTCGTTCAGTACAGATCCTCCAGTAGTGCAGGGCTGTCTCAGTACTGACCCTCTGACAGCACAGTATCTTAACACTTCAGTCATAGTTCTTCATCACTTTGACCAACTTCTTCACAATGTCATATGACAGTAATGGATTATGGTAGCCATTCTGCCCATTTTAATAAGTCCAATCAGAATGACCTAAAATTTCCTTACTGCTGAATCCATTTTGTTTACTTAGTGATTCTAAGATTTTAACCCTTTGATACACACTCTGGAAAACCTTCTCTCTCAACTTAATTTTTGTCAAACATCAATGTACGTAGAAGGCATCTAAAATTTGGAGAAGTGTCTGAACTGCTAATACTTAGCTATGGTATAATTCTTTGTACCGATAGGAAGATGCTGCTCTCTATCGCCATCTTGTGGCCATTCTGCGACACTGCCTTCTTGTCAAAGCTGATGGAGAGGACAGAACGGAGGAACTGCACAGGTAGGGTCAGTATATTCCCACACTTCCCTCCTGCTTGTTACTTTCTCCCCAGTCTGAAACCTCATTTGTCTTTATGTAAACTAATCCTAAGAACTATGAGTCAGTTAGATTAGTGTCTGTATCGAACAATAACAAAATATCATAAATCCAGTTGAAAAATCGTTTGTTCGGAAATGATAGGTCAGGTTTAACTAAACTTAGTGAATTTGTTATGGAAGTAATAGAAAGTGTGGGAAAGCTCAAGGCATTAGCTGAGCTAATCAGTGCTGTGATGTGTTGGTCCCAAGAGTTATGGACCAGATTAAACCCCCCTCAAAATATTTCAAGAAGGTCGCCTGAACCCTGGCTTTTCCTTTTTTTGAAGGCAGATGTGAAGTGTCTGTTCCTAATGCAGTGCAACTGGTCAAACTTCTCGACATTAAACAAAACAGTTTATTTAAACACTGTAGTTAAAATACAACGAAAGAAGGAGGAATTTAGAATAAATTAACTATTGGAAGCTTAACAGAGTAATAGAAACAGTAAACATTACCCCTTGGCAAAAAATGGAAAATTCAGACACAGATTCTTCCATGCAGTTCTCCCATCAAGGAGGAAAAAACATCAAGAGAAAATTCAGAGAGAGTAGCAGCCAAGAGACACTAACTGAAGCTTTTAACTCTGTTGAGACCCCAATTGCTTTGATGCCACTGAAAAACCAAAACCCAGAAATTCTAATTTGTGAGAGCTGGTCGCACCCATCCAGGTTGCATTTAAAAAAAAACCCAAGACCTCCCAAGCTGTTTACTCAAGTGGTATTCAGTAGTTACCTCAACACTGCTTGTTCAATCTCTCTCTTAAAAGAAACATGAACAAAATAGCTTGTTAAATTTACAGCATGGTCACACAAATAACATCAGTTATGTGGACAGACCGGAGAAGCTACAATTTATCTCCTTGGAGCGGTGGTGGTTAAACATTTAGTAGAAGTATTCAAATTTTCATAAAGTAAATAAGGAAAAAATGTTTCTGGTGGTGGGAGAGTCAGTATCGAGAGATCACACATTTCAGATAATTGCCAAAGGAACTATAAGACAAAATTATTTCTGCGGTATTTTGGCATTTGGAATGAGCTTCCTTAACATGTTGAAATAGATTTCTGCAGATTTCTTAAGAGGCAAAGGCACATGTACGTGAAGGGAAAGAATTTTCAGGACTGTAGGGGAGGAGGATTAATTAATGGTTTTTTATTTCAAATTGCTGTCACAGGCCTGACTAACCATGTGGCTTCTGTGTGCTGCAAGATTCTATGCACAGATGAGGAATTTCCACGATTTTGCAGAATTCTTAATTTTGTAAAAGAAAATTCTGCCCTTTGATTTTTTTTTTCTCTCTCTGTTCCCAAACTACTCGAGGGGAGCTATCATCGGCCTCCTGTTCGTTGAATCTGCTGCCATTTGACTGGCTGTTATTTGGAGCAGCAGAGTTTACCTCGTCAGTAGCTGCTGCTATCATGCGAGAGGTGTGTGACTGTATGTGTCTATGATTGAGAGAGTATTGACTGTGTCTGTGTCTGTGTGTGTGTGACTATGACTGTGTGTCTATGAGATATTGGACATGTTCTCATTGTGCAAATGCAAAATTGTGTGAGGGCTGAGTTTGATCTGGGGACTATGTGCAACATTGCATTCACATGAGTGTGCGTTTGTGTGTTGGCAATGACTTGGGCCTGAGAGTGTGATCGGGGTCTACATATGCATGAGAGTGATGAGTTTCTACTAAGTGTGCTGTCCTCCCATTTGTTTCCTGTTTTCACAGTCACACGGTGAACCTGTTGGGGAATCTGCCACTGATGTGCTTGGATGTCCTGCTCACACCCAGAGTTCAGCTGGGCTCGGTTGAATATCTAGGAATGAACATGGATGCTGTCAATTTGCTTTTAGAATTCTTGGAGAAGAGATTGGATCGGGTGAGCATCAGATTGTCAACGTTCATCAAAACATTATTAGTGTTGGTAATAAAAATAGAAAAGTAGAACATTCTACTACTTTTTAAAATGCTCAAAACTTGTAAATGTTGATGCTCAGAGGAACAAGGAACACATACAGATACAACAGAAATTAGAAAGGCAGATGTGATGTGGTCCTTTTTATGAAGGGCTTGGAATATAAGAATATGGAAGTTTCCGACAGTTGTAGGCGACTTTAGTGAGACCACACCTAGAGTAATAGGTGTAATTTTGGTCTCCATATTTAAGTAAGTTTATACATGCATTGGAACTAGTACAGCAAAGATTCACCAGATTGGTCTCTGGAATGAGAGGATCATTCTGTGACAAGAGCCTGAGTAAATTGGATCTGTATTCTTTGGTAAATGTACAATACTGTGGATGCTGGAGATCTTCAAAGAAGAGTCATATCATCCTTGATATGTTAACTCTCTCTCCACAGATGCTGCCAGACCTGCTGAGTTTCTCCAGCATTTTCTGTCTGTATCTTTTGTGTTTGGAAGAATGAGATCTCCTTGAAACATCTAAAGATTCTGAAGGAGCTTGACAGGGTAAATACTGAGACTTTGTTTCCCCTGGCTAGAAAATATAGAATGCAGGGGCACAGTCTCAAGAACAGAAATGAGGGAGTGTCATGGTCCAAAGGTAAAGGTCCTCTAGTTATATATAACTTGTCTTGCATGAATAAGATAACCAGAACAATGCTAAAGTCATTGTAATAAATCAGAAGACATTGTACATGAAGGAAATAAGAAACATTAAAGCTCTCAAGTTTACCTGGAACTTCACTCATCAAAGCTTGAATGGAGTCCTTTCAATCATCACTTAGAGAGAAGACACTTTAAAAACAGCATATGCAGTCCTTTAAAATTAATCCAAAAATTGCAGATGCTGGAAATCTGAAATAAAAACAGAAATCGCTAGAGAAAGTCAGCAGATCTGGCAGCATCTGCAGAGAGGAAGCAGAGTCAACATTTCAGGTCGTGACCCTTCTTCAGAATGCAGTTCTGGATCTGAAATGTTAACTCTGCCTTCTATCCAAAAATGCTGCCGGACCTGCTGAGATTCCCTAGCAATTTCTGTTTTCGTTCTATGGAATCCTTTAGTGGGCTGGTGCCTGCATGGGATGGTGAGAGAACAGCTAAACGCCAACATCTTCCAACATCCACCCTGGCTGTCAAAACAAATGGCTACACTGACTCAAGCTCTTGTTCCAAGAAAATCGAATCTCAAGCTCTGGAATTCGAGTTGGAGCAGAACACCCTCGTTATGCTTGCTGTAAGCACTTTGAGCTCTTGGGTAGCTATTTGAGAGAGAGAGAGGGCCAGTGCTGCCCAAGGCTGGACCCTGAAGGCAAAGGCCCAGGTGATTAGAACAGTGTGCAGCCCCATCTCCTAGGCTAAGGAATGGATACATCTAAGGGGAATCAAGATAAACATGAGGCAGAAAGGAATACAAGGATGTGCTAACAGAGTTGGATGCAATCAGGTGGGAAAGGCTCGTAGTACACAAGCACCAGCTTGGACCAGTTGGGCTGCATGGCCTTTTTCTACGCTGTAGGCTGTGTAAATTGCTGGACTGAGTATCAAATTCTGAAAGTTTTCTGAAGCTGGAGCAATTGGACTGAGGTGGGATAGACAAGAAGCAAAAAGTAATAGAACATAGAACATAGAACAGTACAGCACAGTACAGGCCCTTCGGCCCACGATGTTGTGCCGAACTTTTACCCTAATCCTAAATTCTATCTAACCTCCACCCTACCTTATACTATCAACCATATGCCTATCTAATAGCTGCTTAAATGCCCCTAATGAGGCCGACTCCACTACCCTCTCCGGCAATGCATTCCACGCCCCGACCACACTCTGAGTAAAGAATCTACCTCTGACGTCCCCCCTATATCTACCTCCACTCACTTTAAAACTATGCCCCCTCGTAATAGCTACCTCCACCCTAGGAAAAAGTCTCTGGCTGTCCACTCTATCTATACCTCTGATCATTTTGTACACCTCTATCAAGTCACCTCTCATCCTTCGTCGTTCTAAAGAGAAAAGCCCTAGCGCTCACAACCTTTCCTCGTAAGACCTTCCCTCCATTCCAGGCAATATCCTGGTAAATCTCCTCTGCGCCATTTCCAACGCTTCCACATCTTTCCTGTAATGAGGCGACCAGAACTTTTCTCAGATGATGAGCTTCCTCCCCCAGCTCCAGCTCCAGCTGCAGTCTTTGAACATTGCCTTGTGAACCTTAGAAAGAGGAACATGTTTAAGGAAGGGAGAGCAGGGACATGGCATGACAGCTGCTTCAATAGGAGCTGACCCATTTTAGCTGTGAAATGTTTTATAGTAAGTATGGAAGAAACTTAGGCAAAGATTTCACCTGAATAATTGCTATCAGAATTTGGAATGGTTATCCCTGACTGTAGTGGGTCTCACAGTGTGTATGAACAATGTGGCTGGAGTTTAGTCCTTCCTGAAACACTGATGATTTCTCTTCCCTACAGGGTCACAAACTGAGGGAAACACTGATCCCTGCACTCAACTTACTAACAGAGAGTGCCCGGGCACACCGAGAGACCAGGAAATTCCTCCGCATGCGGGTAAGATTATCCATGGACAGAAAGTTCATGATTATAGGGAGACTTCTGACCTCACTGTACTCTGACTCTGCCATGCCCCTCCCACATTCTGATCCTGCCCTGTCCCTGCCTTGACCCTGTTCTGACCCTGACAGGACCCTCAGTGTCACTCAGTCATGTTCCATAACTAGGTGCCTCACAGGAAGACTCCATTTATGCCATTGGAAAGATATCCGCTGCAGTTAAACTAATGTGTGTCTGTGCATGTATACCCATGTCATGTGTGATCCTTGCATGGCATGTGTTTTCTAAATATATGTGCTTGCTGCTGACCGATGCTGTTGCCTCAGGCTCAGTTGTTAATTGCGCGGTGACTCTGTTTGCTCTGAGCATTAACAGCTGGGACTGGCTTTGATTCCTCCAGGTCCTCCCTCCACTTCGTGATGTACAAACACGACCTGAAGTGGGAAACTTACTCCGAAACAAACTTGTTCGTCTGATGACTCACATCGACACAGATCTGAAGCACTGTGCTGCTGAGTTTCTCTTTGTTCTGTGTAAGGAAAGTGGTAAGACCCTCTGATTTTCCTTGTGTTCTCGCTTAGGGTTGTTGATACGAGTCTAGAAAATTAACCAGTTGAGGTGTTGAAGGAGATGAAGTGTTTGATCAGGCATATGGGAATTAACTAATCTCTCTGGCTGGGAGGGCAGAATAACCTTACAGTTAATGCCAGGCCTTTCAGAGATGTCACAAAGCACTTTTTCACACAAACCGCATTGGAAATCTGGAACTCCCTGCCCCAAATATCTCTAGATGTTGAGGGTTAATTAGAGCTTTCAGTACTGAGATTGATAGATATTTGTTGATTTAGATAACTATAGAATTGGCTGCAAATGCTCTAAAATACCACTCACAAGTGGCATGAAGAACATGCTTGTGTGCAGAGGCAGTCAGCGTAATTGAATTGACAAGGCGGCAGAGCTATTCTCTGCTAAACGGTTCAGCCAGAAGTGTGATCCAGGACTCAAGCAGCCCGGAGCTGGCAAAGAGGAGCTTCCCCTCACTGGCAGTGTCTACTCAGTTGTCTCCTCCTTCGCTGCGTTTGGCCTGCCACCCAGCCCTCTCCAACTGACAAGCTGCTCGGGGATGGACTCTTCACAGAACCTGGGGACCATGTCTGCCAGCTGGGGCTGCTACTGCTGCTGCACTTGTTTTCCTCTCAAACCTGTACTCCCTTTCGCTGCCTCCTCGTGCAGGTTCCAGGCATGCAGCAGTAGCTGGGCATGGCCTTCCAACTCTGGGAAGAACCTCTGCAAGGGCAGGAGTGGCATTTACTAAGAAGACACAGCCAACATGGGGAAGCTTCTCTTCATGAGCTTCTGGGCCTAACACTTCCACACCTACCCAGCCACGCCCCTAAGCTTGGCCCACTCCCCTGACTTTTCCTATAGCCCTGCAATACTTTTCCCCTTTGAAAGCTACAATTGAATTTGCCTCAATCACACCCTCAGGCAATACAGTCCAGATACTAATCACTTATTGCGTTTTTTTCTCACGTCACCTCCAGGTTGTGTAGCCATTCATCTTGAATAAATGTCCTCTGATTTTTAGACTACTTCATGATTTTGAACACCTGTATCGAATCTCTCAGGGGAACAGCCAGTTTTACTGATCCATTCACAGGACTGCAGTCCCTCATCCCTGGAACCTTTCTTGTAAATTTTCCTGTACCTTCTGTATGGCCTTCGTGCCTTCCTGAAGTGCAATGCTCACAATTAGACACAATTTAAACAGTGTTTTATAAAGGTTCACCATGACCTCTGTGCCTTTGTACTCTGCCTCTATGTATTATTCACTTTTTCAAGCTAACCTGTCACTTCCTAATGATTTATGCACATGTATCCACAGGTCCCTCTGTTCCTGCACCCCTTTTAGAATTGTATTCTGTTTTATGTTGCTTCCTTTTGTTTTATGTACTCCAGGCTGCTCACAACATCCTCTCCTTTTATCCCTTTTATTCAAGCTTAACTCAAAAAGATGTTTGAGACATTGCCCTTGTTTAAAGTTGATTAAAAAGCTTCTTAATGGCTTATAATTGAATGTGCTGTACATTGTGACTGACTGAACAGGTTGCCATGGTCCTGAAGCCAATCCTTGACTTGTGCTGAGTTGTTAGACTGAAGAGTTTTCATGACAGTGCTCATGTTTCTCCATCTCTGGGGAAAGCAGAGCTAGAATTGGAGAGTGGCTGAACCTGGAGTGAGATGATCCCAACTCCTTCCCCCGATTCAGCTCATGCCTGAGCGTGCTCCCTAACTGCATCCCTCTGCTCTGTATATTCTTATTTAGTGGCAAGGTTTGTTAAATACACTGGCTACGGAAATGCAGCTGGTCTGCTCGCTGCTCGAGGACTGATGGGAGGTCGGACAGTAGAGGGAATGTATTCCGAGGATGAAGACACGGACACTGAAGAGTATAAAGAAGCCAAACCCCAGTGAGTCAATGTTCATGCAAAGTGCATTTATGTAGTGCCTGTAATGAAGTAAAATATCCCAATTTTCTTCAAGGGTGATGTTTAGACAAAATTGGATACTCAATCACATAAAGATGTAAGGGGCAGGTTGGTCAAAGAAGAAGGTTTTAAGGAGCATCTTAAAGGAAGAGAGTGGTAGATTGGTATAGGGAACAAATTCCAGAGCCAAGGGCCTGGATAACTGGAGGGAATGGCTTCAATAATGGAACATTTAGTATAGAAGATGCTTAAAAAGCCAGAAGTGTGGAGTTCTAAGGAAGGACCTATTCTGTGTCCATGATCAATCATCGTGTCAGTGATTCTGATCTTAGCTCATAAAGTGAGCTGTTGGGGCTGACAGCATCTCTAGCGTGTGAATTCCCCAAATCCTGGTGTTTTGGGGCATAGGGGAAACCTTCATTTGGAACAGTCTCTGAAACCTTTTCCCTCATGATATGTGTGCGTTGTAGCATCAATCCTGTAACTGGTCGAGTGGAGGAGAGGGCTGTGAATCCCATGGATGAAATGACAGACGAGCAGAAGGAATATGAGGCCATGAAACTGTTTAACATGTTTGACAAGCTATCCAGGTAAGAGGGGCAATGGAGTACTGATAATGTAGCATTGTTGATGACTAGTTTTTATACTTATTGTAAGAATACATATTGTCCCTAATAAAGCTGTTCTTTTTTGAGTTTACTGAAGGAACCTGGTGTAACTCTGTTTTTGTTCTGGATACTAACAAAAAGAAAAAAATTGACCATTTTTGTGACTAAATAAAACATTTATACTTTTGGTACAGTTTGTGGAGTAATGGGGTCTTACACTCCTCCTGTCAGAGTTACAACAATTCCTTCACCCTGTAATAAAATCTTATTAATCTCTTAAAGGTCAAAATGAAAAGTAACATAAGATTCTTAACAGTGCCTAAAATAAGCAGTGGGATCAAAATTGGTGTGTGTGATATTAATGTGACATAAATTCCAAATAAAATCGCATGATCTTCAATTGCCAACATGTTTCAAGCAAATAGACTCTTTCATTGTTCAAATACAGCTAAAGTGGAATTTGATCCAACGGGTTAATGTCACAGAGTGAGATTCAACCTGATAGTTTCTTACTGGTCTCCCTTGGACTATCCACACTTCCATTGAATGAATTGGTTGAAAGATTCATGTCTTCGTTTCGGGTTTCTGGGCTGCAGGGTGTACAGCAGTGATTTAATTACAGCTGTCGCTATGTCCCAGATTTCCTGATGTCAAATAGTACTATTTCAGGGTTAGAACGGAACAACATTAGAGAGCCCCATCCAGGATAAGGGTCTCACCTGGACTAGGACTGAGGGAGCTGGCCTTTCCACTGATGCTCACATCCAATGAACAAGTTATTTTTAAAAACATGAAAGCATTGATTGACCAGATGCATGTTCACCCTTCTTGTATCTTGTTTTCTTCATAACCACAATTCTGCTGTTTTGTTTAATACACAGGGAGCAGATAATTCAGCCAATGGGAGTGACGCCAGACGGGAAACTAGCTCCTTTGGAAGAGATGATGCAGCACATGGTGGAAGTGCAAGAGACATCAGACTCTGACTCTGATTCAGACTGAAACAGCTGAGTGAGAGAATGTCTGTGGAGGTGACTGACTGCTCAATGAGTTTTGTCACTGTTAGTTTCCATGCTGGTAGATATGTGACTGGTAGCTTAGTGTAGTCTGTTGTCCCAGTAAAGGGTTCTGGGGCGTCATGGACAGGCCTGAAGTCTTAACATGTTTTGTTGAGAGTACTGAGGTGCCTCCAAATATCTAAATGCTCATAACTGTTGAGGTAACTCTTCCATCAGAGCAATAAAATTACACTATATGGTGAATATTTATAATTATTTTGTGAAAGAATTTTTGTCAATGAACAAACATTGATAGGTTATCAATGTTAAGCAAAGAATAAATATAGCTGGCATCCTCACCGTTAGCTTCCGAAACTTTTGCCAGTGGTATAGGTACCAACCCAGCTGGTTGGTCTGGAATGTGGCCCTCTGAACGGATGCTGCCCCCCCCCCCCCACCCCACTGTAGGTGTCTTGCCAACCCAGCCAACTGTCCAGCATAAAACCCCTCACAACTGGACATTGTACCAACTGGCCATTAGTCTGGCATGAGCCACGTTGGCCATTGGTTCTGTTTGCAACCTTACGTCTAGTCTGACCCCTGATGCCTTTCCGAATTCCTAATGAGACAAGGCCATCTATCTCCGCTGCCTTACATCCTCCCGCGCCCCCCATCTGTCCCCATTCTCTCAACCTCCCCACCCTTTAATAAGGAGAATAAACTTTCTCCAGGTTCCTGGTCTGTCACATTTTATTCTAGCTTTTAAATTAATAATTTATCATAATGTTTAAAGAATGGGAGGATACTGAACTCACCAAGAACAAGTATAGGTGATGAACTGAATAGCCAGCATCTGTGCTGAATTTTCCATTATGTGATGCGTGTCTGTTGTGAAATATTGATAGAGGAAATTAACAGGTAATAAAATCCCAATTGATTTTCATCAGATGGCCTGAGAGTCAGCATGTCAGAATGCAGCATATACCAGAGACTGACTCCTTTTCTAGGAAAAGATATCTAGTCTATTCTTAATCTTAATACATCCCCTATCTGTGCAACCGGAATAATCCATTAATAAGGACTGTATCAAGCCCAATCATTACTTGATTAACCTCTATAAAATCTGTGTACACTTGGAGGAAAAATATACAAGAACCTTGAGCCTGTCTTTTCAGTTGCATCCGCAATCCACTGAAGTATTGAATTCCCTTCGATTGAAGAAATTTCTCCATATCTCAGTCCTAAATAATCAGTCCCTTATCCTGAAACTGTGCCAGCTTGTTCTGGATAACCTAGCTAGGGGAAACAACCTCTCCATGTCTCCTCTGTTAGCCCCTATAGAATTTTATATGTTTCAATGAGGTCATTTCTCAATCTTCTAAACTTTAGAACATATAGGTCTAATTCACTCATATTCTCAAGGTCGGACAACCTTTTCATCCTGGAACCTTTAGTGAACCTTTACTCTCCTGCCTCCAATGCAAGTATTCCTTTGTCTAGATACAGAGACCAAAACTGCAGAACATTTCAGGTGTGGACTCAGCAAATCCCATTCATTTGTAACAAGACTTTTCTATCCATTGCAAGAAAAGGCATTGTGCTGTTTGCTTTCCTAATTGCTTGCTGCATGCCAATCTATTGTGTTCCTTAGATAAGTACACTCCCATTTCTCTGAACATCAACATTTAGAAGTTTCCCACCTTTTGAAAAAATATTTCTTCTATTCTTACGGCCAAAGTGAATCATCTCACAACACATTATATTTCATTTGTGGGTTTGTTGTCCAATCACTTAACGTGCCTGTATTTCTTTGCAACCTGTTTATGTCTTCCTCACAGCTTTGATTACCACCTAACTTTGTAGCATCAGCAAAATCTTCTGACACATTTCTCTCTGTCTCTTCATTTGTCATTGATACAGATTGTGAATTGCTGAGGCCCCAGCATTGACCCTTGCAGCACACCACAAATTACAGCCTGCCAACTTGAAAATTCTCCATTTATACTTACTCTTTTATGCTGCCATTAACCAGTCCTATATTTGGGATAATATACTACATCCAATTTTGAGTCCATTAACCTTTGTGTGGCACTCTATTGAATGCCTTTTGGAAATCCAAGTATACTATATCCACTGGTTTCTGTTTATCTGCCATACTAATTCTGCCCTTTAAAAATTTCTAATGAATTTGTCAAACAGGATTTCCCTTTTGTAGAACCATGTTGACTTGTTCTAATCATACAATGCTTTTCTTAGTGCAGTAAGACTTCCTTAATAATAGATTCCATCACTTTTCTGATGATGGATGTCAAGCTGACTGGCCTGTACTTCCTTGTTTTCTCTCTCTAACCTTTCCTGAGCAGTGGTGATAGGCTTGCTGACTTCCAGAATGTAGGGAATTTTGGAAAATCATAGCCATTAGTGTGATGTGATCTAAACTCATGGCTTTGAAACTGATAATTGCATATCCTCTAGGTTAGCACAGTATAGATCAATGGGAGTAAGTGATGTCCTTGTGTTTTGAAGCAAGATCTGTCCTATCCAGATAGAAGATACATAGAGGTTCTCCAGTATCCCAGAACATGGGTGGCAGTTGGGTAATTGAGGGATTGTAAGGTGAGAAATAGCAAAGGAAGAACATCTCTGATAGACATGGAGTACCTTTTCTTTACAGGACTCTGACTCTATGACTCATCTCTGTTCCAGCAGCATGACAGTAGAAGCCTCTCACTCTATCGCCCTGATGCTGTCACTCCATGCACCTCCACAAGCACCTGCCCATTTTACACCTTCAGCCCGTCAAGATGCTCTTCACTCCGCACACCTTCAGACTTGATAATTGTTTCAGTTAAAGACTTGGGGTACATCACTGAATTTCAATTACAAGAGTTTTGAGTTTCCTTCTCTCTTTCCGCATCCACAGAATTGCATTCTGACTCAGGCAATGATACCTGACAACAAGACAAACAGGAATAAGGGAACTGTAATGAACGTGGTTGATATGGACTTTTAGAAATTATTTTTAAGGTTCCTGTAAGAGATAGATGGGAAAGATATCAGCACCTGGAATGAATAGAAATGTAGCACATTGTCAGATAATTGGGTCAGAATAAAGGGGAGATTCTTGGCTGGGAAGATAGTGAGAGATAGTGCCCCATGAAGATTGTGGTTGGTTTCCTCTTACACAGTGATGATCTAGTCTTGGGAATCGAGAAAATAATGCTCAAAAATTTAGTGGTGTAGATTGTACAAGATTGTAGGCAAGCACATAGAAAAAGAATCTGGAATTAAGGGTTTAATGATGATGATGATGAAACATTGTCGATTGTCAGAAAAACCCACCTGGGTCACTAATATCCTTTGGGAAGGAAATCTGTTGTCTTTATCTGGTTTGGCCTACATGCGACTCTAGACCCACAGCAACATGGTTGACTCTTAACTGCCTTCTGGGCAATTGGGCATGAGCAATAAATTCTGGCCTGACCCATGAGTAAATAAAACAAAACATATAGGCTGGTGATGGTGAGTGAAGGCTCTCGGGAGAGGCAAGCAAATGCAGTTCAAAGTAGAAACATATGAAATAAAAGTTTGAAAAGAAGAACAGGGGAACAAAATTCAATAAAAATGTGAGATTTTAAACAGAACAATGACCTTAGTAAGATAACAGAGGTCATTAGCAGCGTAGCACAGATAGACAAAGCCAAGAAAAGACATATGGAATCTATGGGGGGGGGGGATATGGCAGTGACTCTCAAAGTCTGACTCTAATTATAAACCTATCAGAGACCTGATAGAAACAAAATACTGCAGAAGCTAGAAATCTGAAATTAAACAGAAAATTCTGGAAATACTCTGTAGGTGAAGCATCGCCGCATTTTCTGTTCCTATATATTTTTCTGGTGATTGGCCATTCTCCTGAGTAACCTGTAAGTTATTATGAATGTAAGAAACCTGCAGCTTCAACATCATTCCTCCCGCTGAGTGTTATTAACAGAAAATGGGTTTGCATCTTTGACAAACAAAAGTTTATATCTCCTGGTTTCTACATAATTGTAATTGAATATTTGCTACGTCTGTGGATCATGGCTATTTTCTTAATATTTTATGTCTTGCTTTAAAGCAACTGTCCACAAGTTTATAAAGGTTCTTTTTTATGCAAAAATTATTGCAGCACTGGATAAGTTAAACCCAAAACTAACTTTCCCTGACCTAGATGACAGTGAGACGAATCTGACCCGAAGACAGACCCCAACTGACTGACTGATAGAGACTCTGTCTAATACTAATCCCAGTCCTAATGCTGACGCCATGTGACCTGATCCTTTCCACCTCTGACCTATCTGATACTGTCAAATGCTGACCCCAGCTGGTTCTGACCCTGATACAGAGTCTTGTCCAGTTTGATTTGCTCTTGTACTTTGTTTCCAGGAACACTTTGGATGAATTACAGATACATACAGAACAAGAAAATTTTATCTGTTATATGGTGAATTGTTCATTGGTTTTGTCCCCACTTAACACAGAAAATAAAAAGGCGTGTTTCAATTTTTAATATAATAAATAAAAAAAGTTGAAATGAAAACTGACTCTGAGATCCGCTTGCTTCTTATATGTACAACAGATATTTCTTTAAAAAATCTGAATCTCAAATGTCGAATACTTGTAAATGACATCTATCACTGTGAGAATGGACCAACATAAACTGAATGGTGGGTGGTGGCAGAGAAACCCTTCACTTCCCAGCAGAGCAGTCACATCACCTTCCTGGAGTGGGAGGAAAAGCCTCTCAGCGTTTCCTTTGTTTGGTTTTGTTTCTGTGTGTGTGTGTTTGTGTTTGTGATGGGTTGAGGGGATGGGTTTGGAAGATCCCGTCCCTTCCCATATCTGACCTGGGGCGTTTTTGACCTGAGTCTGATGAAGGAATGGAGAGCTATCTATAGCAGTTTGCAGCTGACACTTTGTTACTTCCTGTTCCCATCTATATAATTTACTAACAAACACTGATCAATGAAGTAGGTGAACAAAATGGCAACAGACTATATGAGTTTTTTTTTATCATCTGTAAACTTAGAAATTTGTATGTTGCAAGTCTCGGTGATGAACTTATATATCAAAAAGACCAGAGGTCCCAATTCCTGCTCCTGGAGAACACCCAACGATACATTTCCTTCCAGTCTGAAAAACAACCATTCACCACTATTCTCTCCTTTTTGTGTTTCAACCAATTTTGCATTCCACATTGGCACCGCCTTTTAATCTCACAGGTTTTGACTTTGCTTACATGCCTTTTACATTTATTTTGGTACTTTGTGAAATGCATTTTGAAAATGCTTATGTACTGTTCTTATTGCACTAATCTTGTCCAGCGTTTCGATCATCAAGGGTGAGAGTGACCAACACCAAAAGGTCTGAAAACATTTTATTATAAGGAATCGTAATTATAATATTTTCTATGATCTGAATTGAAATACAAATACTTCTAGGCCAATTCAAATGGCTGTAATTATTGGATTTCAAGTGGGTATTAAAAAAAACATTATTTTTCCCTTGTTTATATTACTGTCAGGACTGTTAACTAAAATCAATAAACTGACCTAAACATTTCAGCATTCAATGCAGTTAATGAATGTAATACAGGATGAAGTCCAAACTAAACTAGCAAGTCACCTTGCTAGATTATGTACAAGTGAAATAAAGGAAAGGATAATGGTAAACATTTTCAAATTTTAATTCATCACGCTCTTGAGAGCAATTATTGATGGGCAACAAAGGCTGACTTTGACATTGATGCCCACATCCTATGAATAAATGTATACATAAAGTACTCTTGAAAATTGTGACCTCAGCAAAAACAATAAGCTTTGTAATATTTGGTATGATATTGTCTTTAAGTTCACTCATTAAAGATCAACATAATGTAAACAGCCATGCTATTTAAGTACCGGTCAATTTCATCTATGCTGTCCAATTTCCATGGTGACAGAAGACTCAGTGATATCCCTCTTTCTCACACCCACCCACACATTGTCAACAACTCCTCTCCCACCTCCACAGCATCCCCACATACATCTCTTCTCAACATGACTCTCCCTACATTCAACCACTAACTCAATATTCTCTCTTTTGAAACCTCCATTCCCCACTCAGTCCTCTACTCCTGCCCTTTTCGAGTCAAAGAGGTCACAATTGGTGGCAGATTAAGGACAGATGAGCTCAGTGACAGCTCCCTGAGTCAGGCAACGGCTGAACAAAGATTTTAAAGGGTAAAATTCTGCGATCCAAAAGTCAGAATGCTGACAAAACAGTAGTCATTTCTGATCCCAGCAATCACAGATGCATTAAAGATGAAGACACATAACACAGGGGAAATAAACCAATAGAAAGCTTTGCTGACTGGATGACAGAACACTGTTGCAGATGAGTTGGACCAAATGGCTTGTTGTTATGCTGTGCAGAGTTCAATATGGAAGTGTGAGGTCATTCAATCCGATTTAAGAAAGACCAAATTACAGTATATTTTAACTGAGGAGAAGACTGGAACCGTGGAGGTGGAGGTGGGGGTGGGGGTGGGGGTGGGGGGATGTGCAGAGCAATTAAGAGATCCATGCATGGGAATCAGTAAAAACCAGCACAATGATGCAACAAGCAATCAGAAAGCTAAGATCAAACTTCATCTAGAATAACTTAACATCTGGAATAAAGTTATTAAATGCCTCTTGAGCAGGTGGGAATTGAATCCAGGCCTCCTAGTCCAGAAGCAGAGACACTAACATCGCACCACAACAGCCCTTCAGGGGTCAAGATAATTTCAAATCAACCAGCTCAGATGAGGTCTTACACGCCTGTGCAGCAACTGTGATTTGAACTATCACTGTGCCACAAGAGCCCTCCTTCAGGGCTCAATTGTTCTCTTTTAATATATCCAGAAGTGTTCTTACACATAAGTGAACACTTTAGCATCACAAATCACCCATACATAATATGTTTTTTCGTCTATTAACCACCACCAATCAATCACTCTGTTTTCCAATTGACTTTTGTGGTCAATAACAAATTATACGATTGAGACCAGCTGATCTTTTTGAGACTATCTGTTAACATCAAGGGGTATTGGAACATTAAAGTTCAGCTTAGCCATGATCCAATGGAATGGCCGAACAGGCTCTAGCGGCTGATTCTTACTTTTCCCATTTTCCTACGTTTATCCTGTGCATGTTCATAAGGACTCCTTATAGACTCAGCAAATTCTGAGGAGTCCCAGTAAATACTGCGCATGCCAAAGACTGCCTGTTAGTATCAACACATTCCCTGGAATGCTTGGTAATTGCTGACGCACTCCCCTGGAAATGCTGTACACATGGAGAGACCAACTATTAATACTGACACATACCCCAGAAAACCTGGTCATTGATTACCTCATGAAGCCACTATAAATGCTGGACACACTCAGAAACCATGTGTTAGTCTTGGCACACTCCCTAGATACTCCTTGTTAATACTGACACACTATCAGGGATCTCTTGTACACATATGTGATACTGATTAACAAAGATAGCACAGAGGGTCTAGAAAATGTTAATTATGAGAATATAGAAACAACTTGTGGAAATGTTATGTTTGAGGAGGGCTGGATAGAAACTAGGCACTACCACCACCAACCCCTTTCCCTTCCTCACCCTGCACCCTGCAAGTGAGGCACATAAGGTTAAAACCTATTGATTAAAGAGGTTTCATGCTGCTTTGGGTGGGTGGCTGAGGTACAAGCTGTCCATCATCCTGAAAACAATATTAACTGTACATCTGGAAATTGGATAAGAATCACAACATTCATTCACAGTCATTGTGTCTGATCAGCTGGAATCCAATGGTTTATTTACAGACTTTTTTTAAATTTACTTTGAGGTCGAAATCTAAGAGGGATCTCAATTCCATTCTGCTACTTCCTGCCTTACTGATCTTGGCCTCAGACTTTCCAAACGTTCAGTTAAGACTGAAGGGATTTAATCAATTCCAAGAAGTGTCTATAGAAAATACTCAGAAGTAGGCAATTTCTGGATCTTACTCTGCAGAGAAGCTGAATCTAGGGGAAAAAAGGAGGAAAATTATTAAAATCTGCCATTAAATATGGAAAAGTCTGGTATGCCACACGCCTACGCTCTTCAGATTTCACTCTACTCCAGACACATTATGATTTTTTTTTAAAACAAAAGCCCACCATTAACCCAGAGACTGAAACTTGCTTTTCACGGCAATTTTCCCCCAAAAGACCTTGGCAATGTGACAGCAGCCACAAAGGTCTGGATCTGTTAATGTACAGAAGCTTTTCATGTTGCAAGACATCCACCAGGCATGATTCTCACAACTAACCTGGTCTGATTTCCCCTTGGCCTCCATCCCTAAATACTGACACACACTAATTGAGCAAGAGGTTTTTATGCAGATGATGCAAAACTTGGAAGCATTATGAACGATGAGGAGCATAGCGATAGACTTCGAGATGAAATTGGAGGCAGATTGAATGGTGAATTTAATGCATAGAAGTATCAAGTAATACATTTTGGGAGGAAGAATGAAGAGAGGCAATAGAGGCCTGGTGAAGGTGGCAGAGCAGATTGGGAGAATAGGTAACTAGACATATGGGCTTCATAATTAGCTTCATACCTAGAGTATAAAAGCAAGGAAAGTTAGTTAAAAATTTAAAAACACCGCTTGGCCTCATCTGGAGTACAGTGCCCAGTGTTATTTATCCTATTATCAATACTTGCTCCATTTAAAGTTCTTGCGGCTTTGTCTGTACATATCCCAATATCTGTATTTCTCTCACTAAATTTATTTTCCTAGCATGAGTATCTCTACTTGACCCGTTAAATGTACATGCCCTATTATTGGTATTCCCCTCATTAATTTAACCAATAATTCAGCAGAAAGTCAAATGATAACCACGAGTTCCTAGACCTAGGAACAGGAGGCCATTCAGCCCCTTGGATCTCCTGAACATTCAAAAAGATCTGCTCTACAACTCCATTTACAACCCCTTACTTCAATGTATTCTTGCACCAGTGGGAGAGAGGCAAAAGCATTCATTACAGCTTACCAGGGTAGGGGCAGAAATCACAGGTTCCAGTGCTGCTCCTGGCTAGGGTCGCCCACCCCTGACCCATACACAGCAATCCCTCCACTTGTTTGAACACAAAGGACCCTCTAGGACCCCAGGCACCATTTACTGGACCCTAATATATCCCTTCCCACAAACCCCATTCCCATACCGGTCCCCATATCCCTGGGAGAGAAACCCAATAACACCTACAAAATCTAAACTCTAAATATTTTCCAAAAAGTGGTGTGAAATCTAAACATGTTTTTGGAATTTTCAAATTATGATTACTCACTCATAATAAAAACTTCAAAATTCCAGGATTATTTTATTTCAAAGAGCTTGTAAGGGAATCCTCTTCACAAGGCATCAATTCACTCTGAATGCTGAATGATATCCCTGTCCAGCTGCGAAGAGAAAGCAAGGATTAACCAATCAATCAGTGCTTATGCCATGCGCTGTCTGCACACAATCTGTCTGTATCCCATGTCTAATTCACCCTGTATTTGTCAATGCCACCACGATTGTCTGCACTCATGTGTTTGCTGCCATTTTTGTTTGTGTCCCATTTCTGTTTCCATCCTTTCCCATGTCCCATGTCTGTCTGCACCATATGTCTGTCTATTTTCCCCCATATCTGCTCGTGTTCCATGTCTGCTTGATTCCCATGTCATGTGTCCCATTTCAACTAACACCCAATGTCTGTATGAGTGAATCTACTGGGTAGTGAATGGAGCAAACAGGTCAGATCCCTTTTCATGTCACGCCTGATGGGCCTCCTGCTCATCTTCTCACCAGTAGATATGAGATCAGTACCACTGCTGGAAAATGGACAATGATTGTCTACTGTTGTTAGTGATTAGATAAGTGTAGATGTACTGTAGTTTGTTACTGGACAATGAGTCAGTACCTTTTCATGCTCTGTAGCGAGCAGGTTATTCACTTCCTCATGCCATCCCAACATCTCGGAAAATTTCTTCACTCCTGTTACAATATCTCCCAGTTCCACAACATCATTGGTTCTCAGTGGATTCCGAGTGACTGATCCCACCAAATCTTGGTTGAAGAGGACACGAGGAACAGATTCCCTCACCATCTCCGACAAACTTGCAAATGGCTCCACCTGAAAAATTCTCATTGGTTTAGATGGTCACCAAATACAATCTGCTTCAATTGCTCATTGCCACTAACACTCCTGGCTAAACACTAACCACTCAACTCTCATTCCACACCCATCAAACCTCACTCCTCACCCCTCTGACCTCAAACTTCATACATCACACTCACCCAACGCCCTTTCAGCCTTTGTTCCCAGCCAACCTCATTCCTCCTACTCCTCAAACCCCATATCTCACCCCTCCATTTCCCCTCACCTTAAAAATCCATGTCCTGCAGTTGCAGTTTTATTAGCGAAAGCGCATGTGTGAGGTTATTGTCAGATTACCAACCCACTCTAGGAAAAATATTTTGCACTTTAAATATTATAATCAGGCTGAGTCTCATTGTTCTCCAACATTTTACCTCGAACTGTTGTCATCTGTTGAAACCTGACAGCCTCATTCAGGACATTTGTTTACCTCTGTGTCTGGTGGCTGGGAACTCAGAATTTGCCACAACCTCTAATCCAGCCACAATCTTTGTCACAAGGCTTTGATCACCCAGAACTGAGGCCACCCTTCTCATCCCCATCACCTCGAGACCCTGGGATTGACAGCATCCACAAGATCAATTACCATTCCCTTCCTGATATCACTCAACTCCACATTACATCACTGTATACCCCATAACAATCAAATCCTCTCAATTGACAACCACTAACCCCTGCTCCCTCTCCCAGCTTGTACCTTGTCCTTCGGCCTCCCATGAACTGGTTCTCCACCCAACAGACCGAGATTGTCAATGAGGCTGGGTTCCAGGCCGAAACTGATCAGTAATGTCACATGAAGCCTGACGTTAAAACTCCCAGTGGCTTCAGGGCATTTAAAATTCAGGGCCTGATTCAGTACCGAAAATTAGGCTAATGTTTTAATAAAACAGATGATCATGCAGTTGGGCAGAGACATAATGTTCACTCATACAGATTGCGAAGATTCAGAGGTCCCTAAGCTCAGACCCTAAAGCAGAGGAATATTATTAGAATTTGAGAGGTCAATAAATGCCAATATGGAAAGGGTGGGCTGAATGGCTACTTTTCATATTTTAACTCCAGTATGTTTCTTGTAACATAGCAGTAACGTATGCTATAAGGGTAAGGTGAAGTGAGTCAAAGACAAAGCTTATTGAATAGAATCTGAAGTCTAGGTTAAAGGACTAGGTAGTAGGATCAGAATATATAGTTAGATATAGGGTTAGGGAGCAAAGTTTAGGATCAGAGGAGTCAGGAATAAGATCTGGGGTACAGGCTCAGATGCCATGTTCAAAAAACGACAATACGGTGAAACTGCTCTGAGTCATAGTCACACAAGAGAAGAAAGTCTCGACTGTGTTCAAGAACTATTTAACCAAAAGAGGCTTGAGTCACGTCTTCACATGCTCACTTTCCAGAAGGGTTATTTGAAAGGAATACTGAATGGTGTTCTTTGCTCCCATCCCCAACAGGATATTGGCTGAATTCAGCTCATTCAAAACATACTCCATCCTTCCACAAACACTAATGTACGCAGAAGTCAAAAGGTATTCCCCAGCACCCTCGTCCTCCATGACTCCAATCACTTATGCTTTTCAGTTCAAATCCCTGCCCTCATTAAGAAGATATACAACATTCCACCTGGAATTTTGATCTGAATTTTGTTCTCAAGGTTCTGGAATGGGACACGAACCCACGGCTTCTGAGCTAAAACAGACTATTATAAACTGCAATGTAGCCAATCACTGAGACCAAGATAGAGATTCTACAAGCGATAAGGTGATGTTCCTTCCCAGAAAATGTAGGGGAAATTTCTAACAACCATCCCCCAATTCAGAGCCTATACCAGTCACTGTCATGCCAGTGTCAGATCAGTATCTAGTCAGTATCTCACCTCAAGTGATGTCCCCAGGATGATGAGCAGGTCTGCCAAAGGCAAATCAATGATGTACTGGTGGAACTTTACAGGCAGCTGTTCCCCGAAAAAGATAATGTCGGGTTTAATGACCCCAAAGCAGGAAGGGCAGTGAGGCACCTTCCTTTCCATGACATCTCCCTGCAAACCAAACCCAGGCAGCAAAAGAGTTAGGAACACATGAACACTCCAAACATTATACAGCACAGTCACTTCATCAGCCAGGTCAAACCTCTCCCTTCACTACCTTCCCATCTTGGTCTCCCTCACCCAATCATCTCTCCTGTTAATATCCCTTATCCCTGACCCCATTACCCCTTATGCCCTGAACACCCTTCACACCTTTTCTCATTCCCTTTACATCATTATCCCTTCCCCTCCTGGCCTTGGTTCCTAAACTCCTCTCAATATAACCCTTACCCTGTCCTTTCAATCCCTCGCAATACCTCTTGCACTACATCAGCCGTTACCAGGTAACTATTTACAACCCTCCAGTTTACTGTCATCATTATCTCCCAACTTGCATCTTCCATCTCATTCATCTCGCTCGCATTTGCCCTTGCATTATTGCCTCACCTCTTCACCCCCTTCCTCACCACCTCACAGAGTATACCCCTCTCACTCCGTATGCTCATCCTGCTAATACCCACCCTCCTTCACTCCTCATCTTCCTCCATTTCCCCTTCTCCTTTTTCTCTCATTATCTCCCTTCCTATTTCCCCCAGCCTCATTCCACTCCACTCTCTCTGACACAGCAATCCTTTAGTCCTGTTCCCTGGGCCCTAAGACATTCAGCATTTTCTGGAAAACTGGAGTTAATAAGAATCAGGAGAAAATTCACCACTGGTTGGAGTCATACTGAACACAAAGAAAGGTGGTTCTGATTGTTAGAGATCAATCACCTAAGCCCCAAACTATAACTGCAGAAGTTATTCAACCATCCTCAGCTCCACCACAGAAATACCAGGCAATGCACATTTCCAACAAGAGGGAATCTAACCAAATCCCCTTGAAGTTCACAGAATTACCATTGCTGAAACCTCAACATCCTGGGGAAATAACACTGTACTGGTAATTCAGAGGATCAGGGTAATGTGCTGGGATGGTGGATTCAAATCTAACCACGACAGCTTGTGGAACTTGAATTCAACTAATAAAGCTGGAATTGTAAAAATTAGTCTCTGCAATGATGAACATTAAACTATCATTGACAGTTGTAAAACACTAACTGTTCACTAAAGTCATTTAGAAAGGAAATCTTCCATTCTTACCTGCTCTGGAATACATGTGACTCCACATCCACAGTAATATAATTAATCATTGTCCTCTGAAATGGCCAAGCAAGCCATACAATTCAAGAGCAATTAGAGATGTGTAACAAATGTTAGCCCCATCAATGATTCCCACAGCCAATGAAAGAATAAAGAAGAGAAAAAACTGAACTGTACCAGCCATGTAAGTATTGTGGTTACAAGGCTAGGAATTCAACAGTGACTAATACACCTTCAGTCTCCCACAGCCTGGTCACCCTCAACAAGGCACAGAATATGAGTGTGAAGGAATACTCCCCTCTCATCTGGATACATAATGATCCAACAGCACTCAAGATGGTTAACACCATGTAGTTTAAAGCAGCCTACTTGAACTGGACCCATCTATGCTGTTCATTCATTCACTCCCTTTGCCACTATGAACAGTGGCAACTGTTTGCTTCAGCCACAAGATGCATTGCAGAAACTCACTATCATTCCTTTACTAGCACTTATCAAACCTATGACTCTACCACCCGGAAGGGCAGGTCGGCAGGAATATAGGAACACCATCGGCTACAAGCTCCCCACAAAGTCACGCAGCATCCTGAATTAGAAAGATATCATTTTCCTTCACTGTCCCTGGGTCAAAATTGTGGCACTTCCACCCTAACAGTATCTATATGGACCCCACACTCCAAGGGCTGCCGCTGTTCAACAAAGCAGCTCAGCACCATCTTCACAAAGACCAGCAGGGATAAATAGGTGAGAAAATTTGAGTCCAGCTAATGTAGATCACACATGGAATGTATTTGGGAGGTGTACAGAGCTAATCGGAAAGCAAATGATTCTTCGACTGTTGAAGACACTGTACACAGACTGACAGCCAGGCACTGAATTATTCCTAAAGGAGAACCAAAAGAACTGCGGATGCTGTAAATCAGGAACAAAAACAAAGATGCTGGAGAAGCTCAGCAGGTCTGGCAGCATCTGTGGAGGAGAAAACAGAGTTAACGTTTCGGGTCCGGTGACCCTTCCTCAGAATGCCTGAGGAAGGGTCACTGGACCCGAAACATTAACTTTGTTTTCTCCT